CTAGGACGCAATCTCTGCATGGGAGGGATGGGTAGCACCTAGAGTTTTCTGTGATGTCCTCTCCCTTGCCCACCATATCTGTTTCCCCACCCGCGAAGAAGCGGAAGATGTGGAGTTTGGGCAGAAAAATGGTTCTAATTTGTGTTCAGGTCAGTTCAGCTTTCCCTCAACACACAATATTCCATCAAGTTCAAGTGCAGAATACTCAGCCACCAAAATAATGTGGTCTGATGGGTACAAACACATGTTTTCAAGTGTATTGTCACTAAGCACTTCAGCCCCTGGGTTTAAAGCAAATAAAAAATTATCTGTCGCATCCAGGCTCAATGCCGAGGGCACAGGGAGACAAAAACAAAATAATAACAATGAACCAAGAGATAAATCAGTCTCTGAGTCACACAGATTCTGGCCGTTTTTCTCTCTGTCCACTAGATGGAGCCAGCACTCCATCTATGGAATCGGTTCAGCTGAACCCTCTGGCTCTTTATCAGAAGGCTTAGAGAGAGTGTTCCACGCATCCGTGGGTCCTCACGACTGTAACCAACCCCTCTCCTTTCAACGGGGTCATAGCATCTGTAGCAAATGGGGATTCAGCTCAAGTGTTAGAAGCAGAAATATCCTCTCTCTTAGAGAAAAGAGCTATAAGACGAGTTCCAGTGGGGGAAACTCAGAAAGGCTATTACTCCCGTTATTACTAATTCCAAAGAAAGACAGGGGTTTGCGCCCAATAATGGACCTGCGTGCAATAAACAATCACTTAAGGAAGTACAAATTCAAGATGCTCACATTTGCAGCTCTCACGCGCACAATCCGTCAGGACGATTGGCTCACCGCGGTCGATCTCAAGGATGCTTACTTTCATATAAGCATCTATCCTGCGCAAAGGAACTATCTCAGGTTTTCCTTTCAGGTTTTACTCTTTCATTTGAGGTCAGCCTTGCTCCTCGCATGTTCAGCAGGTGCATAGAGACAGCGTTATCACCGCTAAGACACAAGGGGCTCAGAATATCTGCTCATCTGGACAATTATCTGATATGCGCTCACTCGCTGGAGCACGCGGAACAAGACACAGAGATGCTCACGTCTCATCTAACAAGTCTGGGGTTCAGAATTAACTATACCAAATGCCAGCTGATTCCATCTCAGGAGATAGAGTATCTGGGCTTACTAATAGACTCTGTGGCATACCGTGCTATGCTCTCGGAAAGGAGGATAATGGCGTTTTATCGGCCCAGTTTCGCAATTGAAATTTGGTATCGTTCAGGACCTGTCTCTACCTTTTGGGCATGATGGCTTCGTCGCTGTCCGTGGTCTCGCTAGGTTTGCTGAAAATGAGAGACTTCCAGTGATGGGTAGCAGCGAGACGTCTGTGTCCTCGTCGGCACCTAGCACGCAGAATGAGAATACACACAGAGTGCGTGATGGCTCTTCATCAGTGGAGAGATCCCTGTTTATTCCAGACAAGGGTTCCCTTTGGGGGCGTGTCTTTGAGAAATATAGTAACAACGGACGCATCTCTGTCGGGCTTTGGTACTGTTTTTCAGGGCAGATCAGTAAACGGTCGCTGGACGCCCCAGCTTCGCAAACTTCTCATAAATATGTTGGAGTTGATGGCAGTCTTTCTGGCCCTGAAACATTTTCTCCCGTTCTTGCAAGGGTTTCATGTTCTGGTCAGGACAGACAGCACAACGGTGGTGGCATATGTCAATCGCCAAGGGTTCCACGCAGATATTTCACCCACAACCGGAACAAGTTGATCTTTGGGTCTGGCCCGTGAAGGGTTAAATTTATACGCACTCGGGTTTCCGCAGGTTATAAACACTATCCAGAGCGCTAGAGCTCCATCAACGCGCTCACTGTATGGCCTTAAATGGCGTGTGTTTGAGGACTGGTGTACTCGTAAAGGAGTTATTCCCTTTCAGTGCTAGGTGAGCGATGTACTTAGCTTTTTACAAAGCTTAATGAACAATGGGAGAGCTTTTTCTAGTATTAAAGTTTACCTGGCTGCTATTTCGACTTGTCATGTAGGCTTCGAGAGGAGTTTTAGTTGGACAGCTTATATGCCGTTTTATGAAGGGGTGAAGCGTTTGAGGACCAGTATCTAAGCATCTGGTCCCGTCATGGGACTTGTCCATGGTTCTGAATGCTTTAACTTGGGCCCCATTTGAACCTCTGGAGAGTGTTGATATTAAGCTCCTATCTTTGAAAATGGTCTTCCTACTTGGTTTAGTCTCAGCTAAGCGAGTGTGCCTTTTACCCCCCTCTTTTTTCTTCTTCGGAGGTGTGTAAAATTGCACACTTTATGTCCAGTACGAGCGTTACGCTATTATCTAAACAAAACACGATCGTTCAGGAAGAATAATCAGTTATTCGTTTCATGAGCCACTCAATGTAAGGGTAAGCCGATCTACTCACAGTGCTTTTCCCATTGGATGGTGGAGGTGATTGAATTGGCCTATACATCTATTGGTCTTCATTCCCCAGCGGGCTTAAGGGCTCATTCAACAAGGGGTATGGCTTCCTCGTGGGCATTGTTCAAGGGGATTTCGGTAGGAGATATATTTTTGCAGTGGCAAGCTGGGCTTCCCCTCATACATTTATCAGATTTTACCGTCTGGATGTCACTGCGGCTTCTATGGCTCATGTAGTTCTCAATGTTGGCTTTTTGGAGAATTTGAAATGTTCCTGTGGCTCAGTGGTAGAGCATTGCGCTAGCAACGCAAAGGTCGTAGGTTCAATTCCCAGGGAGCACACATACTGATAAAAAATGTATAGCCTGAATGCACTGTAAGTTGCTTTGGATAAAAGTGTCTGCTAAATGCATACATTTATTTAATTATTTAAATTTATGAAAGGTTATCTTTCGTTCTTGCCAGCGGCTTCGGAAAGCATGCTTTTCGGGAGTTGGCTATCATTCCCATAGTGAGATACCGAGCGATTGTTTGAAAGAGAACGTTAGGTTACTTGCGTAACCCCGGTTCTCTGAGAACAGAGCGAGGTATCTCACCAAGCATCCCTACTCGCATAACACGGAGGAAGAGCGTGCTTAGAATGCCATTTTCGGGGATCACAGCCATATATATATAGGGATGGGGTGGGCTCCTTGTCATTAGCTGTGATTGGTCCGTCCTTCGGACAGACGTGGTGTAATTGGTGCTTCCATAGTCTATCATGCCTGGGGGCGTTTCCCATAGTGAGATACCGAGCGATTGTTTGAAAGAGAACGTTAGGTTACTTGCGTAACCCCGGTTCTCTGAGAACAGAGCGAGGTATCTCACCAAGCATCCCTACTCGCATAACACGGAGGAAGAGCGTGCTTAGAATGCCATTTTCGGGGATCACAGCCATATATATATAGGGATGGGGTGGGCTCCTTGTCATTAGCTGTGATTGGTCCGTCCTTCGGACAGACGTGGTGTAATTGGTGCTTCCATAGTCTATCATGCCTGGGGGCGTTTCCCATAGTGAGATACCTTGCTCTGTTCTCAGAGAACCGGGGTTACGCAAGTAACCTAATGCTCTTCAATGAGTTCATGCAAGAAATGAACTGGAGAAGATTTCGGAGCCGCATAGCCAAACCCGCCTGTTACTAAATCACCACAGACCAAAGGTGTTTACCAGTCAGAGTGAACTTTTACAGAAAAGCTTTTTTGAACTCTAAATGAACTTCGTTTTGGCCTGATTTTGTGCGAATGACCTTCCACCAGTCCAGTTCAGTCTTCGATTTCACTTGAATTCTATCAGGGCCTTTAGCTTGTTCAGTGAGCAGCCACTGCTGTGACTGAAGTTAGCCGTCGCACTGTATCGATGACCTGCCAACCAACACGTGTTTTGATGCTTTAGATGTTCAGCTTGACTGTGCTTTCTTCACACACTATATTAACATTCAACTCAAGATATAAATAACTGATCAGTGTATGTACGGATCTGATTAGCAGCTCTCTAAGGGCCCTATTTTAACGATTTAAGCGCATGGTCTGAAGCGCATGGCGCAGGTGCACTTAGGGCGTGTCTGAATCCACTTTTGCTAGTTTAACGATGGAAAAAACAGTCGGCGTGCCCGGTGCATGGTCTAAAAGGATTGTACCTATTCTATTAATGAGTAATGGGTGTGTTTTGGGCATAACATGCCATAAACCAATCAGAGTCTCATCTCCCATTCCCTTTAAGAGCCAGTTGGTGGATTCGCTATTTACACGGTGGAATTTGCAAGCGGAAAAACTGAACGCTTCTCCAGAGAGGAAAGTTCCATCTACCATCTACGGGACACAATAATAATCTTTTACATTGTAATCCTTTCATTTGTAATATTTGACATGCTTGTGCGCTGCTGTGTCCCTGTGTGTGTAATAAGCAGAGTGTACACGCGCTGTTCACCTGCCTATAGGTGCATATTACTAACATGCCCTGTAAATAAATAAAAAAAATATTGCACCATTGACTTTAGACCAGGTTTAATTTGGTCAAAGGCGCAGTCTATTTCAGTTCCTCGAAATAGCAATGCGCCAACAATGCGCCTGAACACACCTCGTTTTCAGACCAACACGCCTATGAGCGAACAAAAGGGCGCAAATGCATTTGCTATTTAAACAATGTGGCGCAGGATGTGAAAATTACAAATGACAAAATGAGCCGAGTGTATGATAGGGCCCTAAAAGTGATATGCTTGGACTCTTTATAGCGCAGTGTTTTGAGGTGCAGTTTGTCTGCATCCAGGGACAGAACAACGCCTAATTATGCCTAGTAACGTCTAATTAGATCAAAAAATCAGGCTGCACATGTCCAGTGTGTGCATACTGTCCTGATGATTACATTTGCATCATGCTCACTGTATGCTTGCCCTAGGATGCGTGTATTTGTGTGTGGAGTTAGCTTTGATGTATGAAACTTGCAGTATGTTTTCATCGTAGAGTTAGCTCTTATATGTGTGCATATCAAGAACACTTTGACTTTGTATTTCATGGCCCCCTGAGCATGACTCTGTGTGGGTTGTGTTGTAGGCAGCACAGAGGTGGTGGCAGAGAGTGATTTTCCTACCGGGCACACGGCGCTGGAGCCGGCGGGTTCAGGCAGGCTGTCCAGAGAAAAGATGGTCTACATGGCTGTAAAGGACGTCAGCCAAGGAGACGAAGATATCAGTGAGTTCTCCGTCTCTCTTTAAGAAGAGTTACATGTGCTTGCAGCAAGTCAGAGATGTGTGTTATGTTTATGCTGTTCTCTGTCCTGAATGCAGACTGTTCGGAGATGACTGACCAGGTGTATATGGAGGTCATAGTTGGGGAGGAAGAGGCTCCTGCTATGACTGAAGCGCAGCTGGAAGACGCACCGGTCAACAAAACCTTTGTTCCTGCCACCTGGGCGACTGCTTATGGTCCTTCACTTTATTTACATTGCGGGCAGAGATAGAAATTGCTTTATATGAATACTTCTTCATCCAGAATTTAAAATTCTAGCATACTAGCATCATACTGTAGTATGGGTCTCTAAGTATGATTATATGTAACCCTGGAGCACAAAACCAGTCTTAAGTCGCTGGGGTATATTTGTAGCAATAGCCAAAGATGGGTCAGAATTATAGATTTTTCTTTTATGCCAAAAATCATTAGGATATTAAGTAAAGATCATGTTCCATGAAGATATTTTGTAAATTTCCTACTGCAAATATATCAAAACTTGATTTTTATTAGTAATATACATTGCTAAGGACTTCATTTGGACAACTTTAAAGGCGATTTTCTCCATATTTAGATTTTTTTTGCACCCTCAGATTCCAGATTTTCAAATAGTTGTATCTCGGCCAAATATTGTCCTATCATAACAAACCATACATCAATGGAAATCTCAATTTCAAGGGTCAAAATTGACCCTTATGACTGGTTTTGTGGTCCAGGGTCACATATTCAAGGTCTTGTGAATCCATATGATAGCTCCGGGTTTGGTGTCTATCAGCCGAGTCCCTTTGACAAAATTCAGGGCAAACTTCAAGAAAATATTTAAGTTAAGATTTCTATAATTTAGCAACGCATTTGCATGTTCATGGTTCTCTGATGTCGGTTAACTGTCACATGACGTGACATTTTTAGTAAGTGTCTTATTTTGATTGTTTTTATTTTAAAACACATGTTCAATCTTTCCAAAAACCAGCTAAGGCCTCTTAGATAAAAACAAACAAACAGAAATAGTGCTAGCATTTTTACGACTGTATTATTAGGTTTGCAGACCCCCAACTAGGAAACCCTGTGATAACTGATGACAGCATTTTCATTTTGGGCTATCGGTCATTTTAAACTCTAGCTTAAAATGTATAAAAACATTGTCCTTCCATTTTAGTGCATTTATAGCGTGCATATAATCCAAGCACCTTACCTGTCATGGCTTTCCTACAGGAAGCAGTGTAGAAAGTAAGAATGCTGCGGCCACTCCGTACCTACAGATCACTGACAGCATCAGCACAAGCCGAGCACTTAAACAAAAGATCAAGAAGAAGAGGAGAGGGGAGACGCGCCAGTGCCAGACAGGTATGATCCGCCGCTAGTGCTAGAAACAGTTAACCAATTGGTGGCTGACTAAATACTTTTTTGCCCCACTGTATGTTCCTGGGCTCATCAGTGTATGCGATTTCAAAAAGAGAAAAACATTTGTCTTCCTAATATTTCATCCTTCACCATGTCAGCTGCACTACATGACTTTCTTTTTTCACCATGCAAAATAACTTTTTTGGGATTGTTTTTAGACTACAATTGTAGGTAATGCAACCTTTATAAAAAGCTAACAAGGTAATACTGTAATTTAACCCTTAGCGACCCAAGTACGATAAATCAGCTGTTAATCAGCTTTAGCACAGTTCTCCTTTTCATGCTTTTTTAAGCTTTGCCAGTTTAAAATGTAAAGCAATCTTAAACTGGTCCAGCACAATAAGATGCATCAATATAGTCATAACAACCTTATTTTCATTTTGTTATCGGCTAGAAGACTGTAACTTTGTGCTGTTCATGCTGTGAGAAATTGTACTTTCAAACTTGGTGTTATGAAACATTTCAGAATTGTAGGTTCTGTTTAAATTTCAAACATGTTGCAACTTTGCTGCACTGCGTGTCTAAGCATGTAATAGAGCAATAATAGCAAATGATAATGAGAGATAAAAAAAGTGGTTCTTGATGGTGAAGTTGAGCCCCTGAGCCTAGTCAAAAAGCATCCTCAAAAGTGGATGTTTAAAAGGGAAGTTGGATATCCTGTCTCACTCTGAAAATACGCTACAGGAGTAAAATTATGTCTATTTTCAGCATGTTCTCTTTCTTTGTTTCAGCTGTGATCATCGGTCCCGACGGACAGCCTCTGACCGTCTACCCCTGCCACATCTGCGGCAAGAAGTTTAAATCACGCGGTTTCCTGAAGCGCCACATGAAGAATCACCCGGACCACATGTTCAAGAAAAAGTACCAGTGCACCGACTGCGACTTCACCACAAACAAGAAGGTGAGCTTCCACAACCACCTGGAGAGTCACAAGCTGATCATCAAGAGCGAGAAGATCCCGGAGTACACCGAGTACACGCGCCGCTATCACGAGGCCAGCCCACTCAGCTCCAACAAGCTCATCCTGAGCGACAAGGAGCCCAAGCTGCACAAGTGCAAGTACTGCGAGTACGAGACGGCCGAGCAGGGCCTCCTCAACCGCCACCTGCTGGCTGTGCACAGCAAAAACTTTGCACATGTCTGCGTTGAGTGCGCCAAGGGCTTCCGGCACCCGTCGGAGCTCAAGAAGCACATGCGGACGCACACGGGCGAGAAGCCCTACCATTGCCAGCACTGCGACTTCCACTGTGCCGATCAGTCCAACTTAAAGACTCACATAAAGAGCAAACACGGCACTGACTTGCCCTTCAAGTGCGGCCACTGCCCGCAAGCCTTCGCCGAGGACAAGGAGCTCCAGAGGCATACGGAGATCTTCCAGGGCCATAAGACTCACCAGTGTCCACACTGCGAACACAAAAGCACCAACTCCAGCGACTTGAAGCGTCACGTCATCTCGGTGCACACCAAAGACTTCCCACACAAGTGCGACGTCTGTGAGAAGGGCTTCCACAGACCCTCTGAACTGAAGAAGCATGCCGAAACGCACAAGGGGAATAAAGTACACCAGTGCAGACACTGCGATTTTAAGACGTCGGACCCCTTCACGCTGAGCCGCCACATTCTGTCCGTTCACACCAAGGACTTGCCGTTTAAGTGCAAGCGCTGCAAGCGCGGATTCAGGCATCAGAACGAACTTAAGAAGCACATGAAAACGCACAGCGGTCGCAAGGTTTATCAGTGCCAATACTGCGAGTACAACACTACGGACGCTTCGGGTTTCAAACGGCACGTCATATCCATCCACACGAAAGACTATCCGCACAGGTGTGACTATTGCAAGAAGGGTTTCCGTCGGCCATCGGAAAAGAACCAACACATAATGCGGCATCACAAAGAAACCCTGCTATAACGCTCTTTCTTTCATCCCCAAAACAAGCTACAGGTGTCATTCACAGCCCTCTTATTTAATGTTCTGCTTATGTGTAAAGAAACATAAATCACAGCTGAGGTGGGTAGAAGTGGCTAACAGTATGGTCTTGGTCACCTCTCACGGTCTTTGAAGCATTCATTCAGGGTCTCAAAAGCCTATATTTTTATACCCTCTTTACTTAAAAGCTGTAAGCAAACCGCATCCTCTATATGAAAGGAGTAGTTCACCCAGAAATCAAAATTGTCATTATTTACTTGCCCTCACGTTCCAAACATCTTCTCTGGAGGATAACAGAAGTTTCACAGAATGTCCTTGCTGCTGTCTTTCGTTAACCAATAGCATCTGCTGACCAGTCAGGCTTCAAAAAGGATGAAAAAGCACCATAAAGGTGTCAGAAAAGTTGACTTTGTGCACTTTACGGACCGTTGAGAGCACATATGTATGTTTGCATGGCAGCACAGTGATGATGTGCCCCATGGAGGAAAATGAGTAAATGATGACAGTTTTTCTTTTTTATGGGTGATGTATTCCCGGTCAGAGCATCATTACAGACATTAGTCAGGATAGACTGCATACTGAATTTCACAAAACAAGGCTAAACATGGAGTCTTTATAATGGCATGAGATCGCATGTCATTTCAAAGCTGCTCAGTGAAATTTTTGCTCTACTCATCAGCTGTACAGTCAGTATGTTGTTCAACAGCATCCTCGCTAATCCGGCGCTGTCCTGACTAAAGTCTATCAGGACAAACATGTTCCTGTTTCCCTCTGCAGTCATTAAATCATAGATGTATTTTACCAGCTAGTATGTCCAGGTTTTACTGTACCTTTTACCGTTTTGTACCCATCATGATGTTGATTTTTAGCAGTTCTGTTGAGGCATCTGCGATTTAAACCCGTCTCTGCTCTCTTCTGCGATCCCGGTGTCTTCAGTGTTCCCTAGCTTTGTGAACACCACTACAAAATTCAATGTTTGTGTAAAATGAAACGTTAACAACACGGCGAACATGCACATACTGCCAATTACTTTTGATCTCTTGAGTCATGCCTTACATGTATTGTTTTTGCACTGAATTCAGTAAGTATGAATCGATTGTGAATATTTTTAACAAGTCTCAGTTATGCTATGATAGATGTATAAACAAATTCAAATCACGTTTAGAGCACCTTTTGCTTTTATAATGTCACTTTAGAGTTATTTATTTGTTAGCGGGTGGGCAAACATAGACACGACATCCTAAAGCACAGGCCATGCTTCATCCCCTTCCCAGCAGTACTAACTGCTGCGTGTAAACGACCTCAGCGATTCAGGCATGCCTTGATATCTGTCTCTATTGATCGGCGTAGCTATTGACTTCTGATGTGACTCTAGTACTCACAGCATCCCGATCAGGGTGAGTACTTCCTGTCAATCATGTTTTTGTCATGTAATGCTCACTCCAACGTTGTCATGTATAAAAGCCTTCGTCATAAGCTCCGTCTCAGGAGAAAACGTGTTTTAAGACATCGCAATGAAATAGAAAGAGTGGCTGATTTGCAGCAGCTTTAAAAGGTTTAGTTCACAATAATTCAGTTTCTTGAAATCACAAGACGCTGCTTCTAATGGTTCGTCATCTGGACAGACGGACATCTCACTGAAATTACAGCATAAGTGGATGTCGTCGTTTCTGCTTTATTCACCGTTTAATTGGTTGTATTAAGTTCAAACTGTTTAATTGAGTGCTTTCTGAGTATGGACTCAATGACGTGATGTGATCAGACGCTGGCTCTCATTCGTGAACCACAAGGAGAACTGTGTGTAAATAGTTTAACCATTCTTACGTAAATTGATGCACTGAACAGACGCAGCAATCGCTTAAAGGAACACTCCACTATTTTTGAAAATAGGCTCATTTTCCAACTCCCCTAGAGTTAAACAGTCGAGTTTTACCGTTTTCGAATCCATTCAGCCGATCTCCGGGTCTGGCGGTAGCACTTTTAGCTGTAGCTTAGCATAGATCATTGAATCTGATTAGACCATTAGCATCTCGCTCAAAAATGACCAAAGTGTTTCTATATTTTTCCTATTTAAAACTTGACTCTTCTGTAGTTACATCGTGTACTAAGACCGACGGAAAATGAAAAGTTGTGATTTTCTTGGCTGATGTGGCTAGGAACTATACTCTCATTCTGGCGTAATAATCAAGGAACTTTGCTGCCGTACCATGGGTGCAGCAGGCGCAATGATATTACGCAGCGCCTGAAAATAGGCTTATTGGAAGTTACCTAGCTGGGGACTATTTTCAGCGAGATGCTAATGGTCTAATCAGATTCAATGATCTATGCTAAGCTACAGCTAAAAGTGTTACCGCCAGACCCGGAGATCGGCTGAATGGATTCGAAAACGGTAAAACTCAACTATTTAACTCTAGGGGAGTTGGAAAATGAGCCTATTTTCAAAGATAGTGGAGTGTTACTTTAAGAACAACTCCCAGATGGATTCTACTGGTGTTTTGTGAATGAGGTTTGTGGCTCTTGAAATCTTCCATTCGTTCGTCAGTGGTGAAACACATGCCAGCAGTCTAGATAGTGCTGTGTTTGTTACAGCTGTGGTTGGAGACTCTTAACATTCTTCATGGAAAATAAAATTAATGCATTTCAGTTATTTCTGACAGATGGACTACTGGTAAGAAGGAATCAAAATAAATATTTCTTTCAAAAAGCTTTTTTTTTTTTTTTTTTTTTTCAAAAATGGTTTCACACTCAGGTATTTCCTTGACATTTAGCAGATAGCACTTTTCAGATGTAAGAAATTAACAGTCTAAATAAATAATTCAAGGAAAATCATTTTAATCTGCTTATAAATGTTGTATTATGCCATTAAAGTGGATAGTTACATGTACTGTATGCTGTTACTGTTCTGACTGTGTGTGCGTCTCATTTAGCTCTTAGTTCAGTGTTAGGGCACTCATCAGGGAATCAGCCGTTTTGAAAGCATTTTCAATCACAGAATGCTTCTAGCGCACTGAAATGTTCCCTACAAATCCCACAGTCCCCCACAGAAGTCGAGCAGCATCGATGTTCACTATGTTCCCTTAGCAGACGTTTTGATAAACAAAACATAAACCGCATGAGCCAACTCAATGAAAGGCATGACATTCGGTAGATTTAAAAATGAACCTGTTTAATTATACAGAGTATAAAAAGTCTTAATGTCTTCATTCACCCTTCCTCAAAATGAATTAAAACTGAGTTGAAACCCTTTATTTAAATGTTATTAAATGGCACACAAACTGCACGGCAATGAATATCTTCCTCAGTATTTTTATCTTGTTTTCCAATAAAAAGTTCTAAACATGCTTAAATCAAGAAAGACTTACTTGAGATGCCAAATGAACACGAGAAATCTAGTTTTCTGAAAAACTGAACAAGAACAAACATGTCAATGAGGTATGAAAATGATGTTTTCCCTTTGAATTAGTTCATATTTCTGAGCCCATTGCCAGATATTTGTTCTTGTTTTAATCATGAGCTCAATTTTGATCACTTTCTCATGAAACAAGACTTGTCCTCTGTCATTTTGCTTCTCAAGTAAATGCATCTTTATACATTTGCACTGGAAAACAATGTGATCAGAAAAAGTAAAAGTTATTTCCATATTCTAGTGGTTTGGAGCAGAGCTATTCAAGCCTTAAAGGGGTCATAGGATGCTGCATGCACTTTAACAAGTTGTTTGAACTGAAATGTGTGTTGGCAGTGTGTGTACACAACCACCCTAAAATTATAAAACAATTTAAATCTAAAATCTTTACCCCTTTCTCAAATCAAGCCGATCTCAGATGCCTGTCTGTGTGACGTCACACAGACAGGCCCCTCCCACGATAGTTTGATTGACAGTAGCGTTTCAGCACAGACTGGACTGGCGTCTTATGATGAATGCGGCTAAAGTAAAACAGTCCCTCTGAGAGCGGCTCGGAAGAGAGGGGCGGGGTCAGCAGAGCTCATTAAAATTTAAAGGGAAATGCTACAAAACTGTTCTGATAAGAGCTGTTTTTGACAGGGTAAAAAAGGTGTTTTTTACACTACCATTGAGAAATTCTAACCAAACTATGTTACAGACTTTTCATTAAGACCCTAAAGAATCCCATCAACTTGTGGAAAATGTGGATCCCTTTAAGCTTTTTTTCAATTTTTTTTAATCAGAATTTAATTAAAAAGTAATCGATATCTGTTGAAAATTGATTTTCAAACTTGCATTGCTGCAAGACATTTTACATAACATTACATTTAGAGAACATGTTGACATTCTGTGCTCCATTCAGATATTTATAATTTCAACTTGGCTAAAATGTTGCAGGAATATTTATCAGAACAAAGGGTTTTTCATAATGTACTTTAATCATGTCAGGAAGATGTCAGTCCTGCCGGTTGATGATAAATATGTGCCACCTCAGTGTGCAGTGAGCCGTGCTCCTTTACCAGTGTCTGAATTCATGCACGTGATGTACAGATTCACGCATTCTCTTTGCTCTTTGAGTGCTATTGTCTCATACACTTTCAACAAAACTCTGAAGTCCCAAACGCTTGACCAGCCATTGTATTTAGGGCATCTTCAAGGCTACTTCAAAGCAATTTACTTGAGAGCATTTTAGGTAACACTTTATTTTAAGGTGTCCTTGTTACACGTTACATGTACTTACTATTATAATAACAATTAATTATGCATAATTGCATGCATGTAACCCTAATCCTAACCCTAACCATAAGTACATGTAGTTAATATGACTCAAAATCCAGGTGTTGAACTGCGCATTGTACTGATAAAAGAAGTCAAAAACTCTCTAAACCTCATATCAAATGAATCGGACAGCTCACATAAGATTTAATTTGACCTCCAGAGATAGCTGAACAGCGTTTTCTGAATAGTAAGCACCTTCTTTCAAAATATAAAATAAGTGCCTTAAAGAAGTCTTCCCGGAGCTCGACAATGAACAAAGTCAACATAGACATAAATATATTAAAAACACAAAATAAAACTGTGACTGCTATTGTACTATAGGTCTGTAGAGTAGAGTTACTGACTGACTTTCTGAATTGTACTTTACACAGTGCAGATTGTTTTTTCTTTCACCATGAATTCACAATATACACACATATATATATATATATATATATATACACTAAAAAAAATTATAAACGCAACACTTTTGTTTTTGCCCCCATTTTTCATGAGCAGACCTCAAAGATCTAAGACTTTTTCTATGTACACAAAAGGCCTATTTCTCTCGAATATTGTTCATAAATCTGTGTTAGTGAGCACTTTGCCGAGATCATCCATCCACCTCACAGGGGTCCGAAAACCATTCAGTATCTGGTGTGACCACCATTTGCCTCACGCAGTGCAACACATCAACAACCTGATTAACTCTATGCGATGGAGATGCGTTGCACTGCGTGAGGCAAATGGTGGTCACACCAGACACTGACTGGTTTTCGGACCCCCCAATACAGTAAAACTGCACATTTTAGAGTGGCCTTTTATTGTGGCCAGCCTAAGGCACACCTGTGCAATAATCATGCTGTCTAATCAACATCTTGATATGCCACACCTGTGAGGTGGATGGATTATCTCGGCAAAGGAGAAGTGCTCACTAACACAGATTTAGACAGATTTGTGAACAATATTTGAGAGAAATAGGCCTTTTGTGTACATAGAAAAAGTCTTAGATCTTCGAGTTCAGCTCATGAAAAATGGAGGCAAAAACAAAAGTGGTGCGTTTATAATTTTGTTCAGTGTATGAAGCGCAGATTGTGCAGAC